CTATTGAAAATAATCTTGGAAAATTAAAAGGAAAATGGAAAAACAAAATTAGAAACAGATTAACTGCACTATTTAGAAAATTAAGGTATTATATTGGCTTAGCTTCATTCCAGAAAATACTTTTTTCGATAACTCATAAGTGCTGGCATAATTCTGATGAAAATATTATGTTCAAACAACCACTGTGGTCATAATAATGGGTCATAATATCATCTATATTAAAATGGTGGAGTCAGGCCGGGCGTGGTGGCTCATGTCTGTAATCTTAGCACTTTGGGAGGCCGAGGCAGGAGGATTGCTTGAGGTCAGGAGGTCAAGACTAGCCTGAGCAACATATTGAGACTACATCTCTATAAAAAATAGAAAAATTAGCCAGGTATGGTGGTGTGCACCTGTAGTCTCAGGTATTCAGGATACCGAGGCAGGAGGATCACTGGAGCCCAGGAGTTTGAGGCTGCAGTGAGCCATGATCATACCACTGCCCTCATGCCTAGACAACAAAGCAAGACCTTGTCTCCAAAAATAATAATGTTAATAAAAAATGTTTTAGAAATGGTGGAGTCACTGAGAGCAATAAATAAGAGTAATAAATGTATCTATCCAAAGGGATTACAAAATAACCAACTTTTTCCTATTCTTTTTCCATGCTGGGTGAAGGATCTTGAAACAGCCTATCACATTACAGATATCCATGAAGCTTTGGCATTATCTGAGGTGGGAAATGACAGGAAGATGTTCTTGTTTGGAACCCACCTGACTAAGAATGGCTCAGAGATACCCTCCACCATGCAAGATGCCAAAGACTTGATTGCACAGTTGGCTGCAGAAGTGCAGTGACCAGAAACAGGCCCACTGTGCGGCTCATGATCGAAATGTCATCAGGGAGTGTTGAATGGCAGGCTTAAAGCCAAAGGCTTTCACTTTCAAATAAAAAATAAGCCATTTCCTATTTTCTCTATGTTATGTATGGCATATATATAGTTGGCTCTCCCTATGTGTGGGTTCTACATCCACAGATTAAAAAACTATGGGTCAAAAATGTTTGTAAAAAAAAAAAAATGCCCAATAAAAAATAACAGTACGGCCAGGCATGGTGGCTCATGCCTGTAATCTCAGCACTTTTAGAGGCTGAAGTGGGAGGATCACCTGAGCCCAGGAGTTCAAGACCAGCCTCGGCAACATAGCAAGACTCCATCTCTACCAAAAAGAAATTTGGAAAGAGGATTTGTTCTATAAATCCTTCCTTTTAAAAATCGGAATCTGTGTTGAAATAAAAATCCAAATATGGTGAAGATGGTTAGCCCCTCTCAGTGTTAGCACATAGCTGTCTCTGTCAAGTTTTAGGTTAAAATGGAGCCTAATTGAACTTATACATGCATGTGCAAAATGATAATTGCCCTCTGAGAGATGAGACATTGGAGTGTGCGCCTTTAAGGTTGCTCCGTTTCTCACAGTCAGTGCTGAAGGATTATGTTTAATGGTGTCCTACCACAACTGTCACTCAGGTGTCTAATCTAATGTCAAACCTTCTTGCCTGGCCTGTGGAGAGCGGATCACACAATGATGGGTCATGCGAGAAAGTTGCCTGGTGAGCATAGATCTTTCGGCGTATGATGGCGCCAGGCCACACATCCACCTCAAGAGGGCCTGCAGGGCAGGCTGTGACAGTTGCCCTCTGTTGGGCGAAGTCCTTTCCTTTCTGCAGTTACTGAAACGGGCACAGCCTCTATGACTCTCCTCCTGGACATTCGCTGTGGGCTGAAGCCCCCTCCTTCAGTTGACATGTTCTTTGGATATTTGAAGTCATTTCATTTAGTGGCGGCCTAGTTTTACTGATTTAGGGGCCATCCAGCCTCCGTAAGGTGAATTTACATAACTCTTCCCTGATTGTTTACAGGTTGAGTTAAAACTCTCTGAGGGTAGCTTTATTTCTCCTTTTTCCAAGTTTTGGGGGATACTTCTTGAATCTCTGTACGGTACTGCATATGTCTATATCAAA